CATTTTTAGTTAGCATATATTTTTCAGATTTCTCACTGAATTGAAATAAATAAAATTTATAATTTTTAAATAAAAATTTGAATTTATAGGGGGTATTTTTGCAATTTTAAAACTTAGAGAGTATTTTTTACAAGGTCCAAAAACTTTTAGGTGTTGGCTAACATATTTTTTAGATTTTTCTGTAAACTAAAATAAGTTAAAGATTTGAATTATATCAAACATATCACATTTATCCAATAACATGTTAAGTCTTATTATGGATAGGATAAATCATTTAATTATAAATTCAAAGAATATAGAAAAATTAGAATAAAATAAGATAATAATATAATATTTTTAGATAGATTAACTAATCCTGCCAATCATTCCTTTATTTAAAAATCCTCTCATTAAATCTCAAACCTAACCCCCACATTCACAGTCTTTCATCCTAAATTCGTTGCAAGAATAATGAAATTGAGTTCTAGGGTTTCAAGTGCTGCTTCAAGCTATGATATGGTGGAAGAGAAAGAGACAAAGTGTTTACTATTGCAATGTGATTTCAAACGTATCTCCTTTATCCAATAATATGTTAAGTCTCATTATGAATAGGATAAATTATTTAATTGTCACTTCAAAGAAGATATGATAATTAGAATAGATTAAGATAATAATAATATTCAAAAAAGTTAATGTTAATATTAACCATAGAAATTTTTTTCTCAAACTCGTACTTTTAAAGGAAATATGATTAGATAGATTAGATAGATTAACTAATCCCACCAATTTCTCCTCTATTTAAAAATTCTCTCATTAAATCTCAAACCTAAACCACAAATTCATAGCCTTTCATCCTAAATTCATTGCAAGAATTATGAAATCAAGTTCTAGGGTTTCAAGTGCTGCTTCAAGCTATGATATGGTGGAAGAGAAAGAGGCAAGGGTTTACTATTGCAAAGCGATTTCAAACATGAAAATAGCATGGACAATATAGAACTACAGTAGACTTTTTTTTTACTGTCCAAACTATCGAGCAAACATCAAAATGTAGAGTTTTGTGTGGAAACATGAGCTCTTCCATCTCCAAGCTCAAATGGTGATTAATAAATTGTTATGTGAAAAAGATGTGTTCAAGGAAGGGGTGGACAATATTGGCAGAGAGAAATTGATAAGTTTGAAAGAGAAATTGAGAGAGAAGAAGAAGAAGAAATTAATTGACAGAGAGAGAACTTATTAATTAGTTTTAATTGGCATAAAATCGGATTAGATTAGCATAAGACTCTAATCACCCCTCCTCTAGGGTCTAACAGAAGACTTGAGGGGGGGAAATTACAGTGAGTGATATTCTTTCCCTCATGTCCAAAAACTAACACAATCGTCACTTTTCTAACAGTGAAAAACTTAAAGTATTTTTTTTGTTACAAAATACAATGTATGGTATTTAAGTATCAGAACCAAGAAACTTTATGGTATTTAAGTCACATGTCCTCAAAAATATTCATGTACAACCAAACAAAATTTTGTTGAATTTTTATCTCTCATGTAAATACTATTCAAAATACCTGTTGTAAACAAATTAGATTTTGAACACGGATTGCTAAAAGTGTGACGATACTCAAAAAATCTAAAAACTTCAAGCTTAATAATCTAGGCATATATTAACCATATTTAGATCATACAAAATCATGATTATAAGAGAGGGAGAAGGCATTAACTTGCAGTACGAACAAAGTTAATTTATGATTGTAAGAGAAACTCAGATTAGTGTTGTCGGTAGTCAAAAATGCTGTAAAGGTATATCTTATGTTTTAGGGTTTTTATGCAATTTCAATCATTGTAGGATTTGTTTAATTTCTTATGTTTTAGGGGTTTTTGTAATTTTCTTGTCCTTTAGGGGATTATTTGTAATTTTTGATTTCTTGAGGATTGTTTTGTAATATTTAGATTTCTTTATGTTCATAATTTCACATGTGTGTAATTTTTCATACATGATTTTATGGAGATAAAATCTATATGATTTTTTTGTTAATTTCTATACCACCATATGTGATTGTTAGATTTTTCTTCATGGATAGTTATAATGTAATATGCATACCAAATATTTTATTATTAGAATTTTAATTAAGAATATATTTAATTTGATGATAATTCCAAGATGAAATGAAAATTATATGTTAACACTTCATCTTCTGATAGTATAGGAAGACACGTGGTTATTTATGATATGACACATGTCAATTGTTTTTATCTTTGAGAATAGTACATGTTAGTTGTTTTATGGCTTTAAGGGTACTACCAATTTCTCATTATATATAAAAGAGGGATATCTAATCTACAGATTATAACCTAATTTGGTTTAGTTTTCTAAATTAATTTGTAATATACATAAAACTCCTCAATTAAAAGTAAAATAACCGAAACTTCTTATTAGAGAGAAATGGCTAATCACATCCTATTGATTTTTTTAGAACCTTCTAACCTATTAGATATGTAAATACCATGAGAAAGCAAATCAATTTCTTATGTGCAAACGCATGATATATGTAGCAACACCAGCCCACACATAAGATTTTATGTAGCCTTACATTTTTATCATTTCTAAATTAGCCCTTGCCGAGGAATGTCACAAGTTTCAAAGACCTAGGCTGTTGACCCCCACAATTCTCATTTTAATTTCAACTATTCTCTACACAATAACTAAATTAGCAAATATCATAGACAAATTTTAACAGCCAAATAAGGAAACTATATAACAAAGTTAGTTATAATGCCAGAGTGTACACCTTTGCCGGAATTATCTCTTCCTAGTTCATAACCTCGTCCAATATGAAGTTTTGCTTGTCCAATATGGAATGAATCTGAAAAATTACATTGCTAATTATGAATAACATGATAGGAATGATTATTGAATACATCTAATATGAATAGGATAATAACATAATCTAGCTTTACTCGTTGCCCTCGATATCTTCCTCGCCTCCTAGATCGATATCAAACAATCATCATGATATAGCAGCGTAATTAAAAGAGAGTACTACTCGTTTCGGTATGAGCAAAACAGACACAAATCGTAGAAAATCCTAGTAATAGATTTAAAACAATAATAATCAATCTAAATAGTTCACAATTTTGTTTCCCTTGTATAGGGTATAACACAAAGCAAAAGTACTAAAATAATTTTTCTTAAAGTAATTAGACTTCCTAAAAATAAAAAAATAAATTGGATCAAAACTTTTCGACGTACAGTTTGAGCCTGAAGTCGATTTTTTTTCACCCCAAAATCTGATTGGAACTGCTAAGCTGTGCGACTTGTAGAGTACTTCCCGGTCTTTCTAAAAAAATATAATAATAGTGATTCTATAGAGGGAATCAAAAGCTATGCTCCGTTAAAGTTGCACGCCAAAATCTGGCTGAAAATCATCCTCTTTTCTTGGATTGCCCGAGCTTCGCACGATCCGAATTTTTCCCAAAAGACATCAACGACGCATCACATCATTCTTCAGAGGCAGTGGAAGGTACTGACTCCAGATCGAGCCCAGTCATTCCCGTGGGTAGTAGAACTGGTGGAACCTTTTCGTAGTTGTTCTCGTTGATGATGAAAGGATGATGACTTGTGGTGTGAGAAGAGGAGAAGTCAGGTATGACCACAGAGAAGAGGAACTCTGCTATGGTTTTCTGTGGGAGGTTATAGGAGCCTTTTTGCTTGCTTTGGCTCACTTCCATTCAACGGAATGAAATCTTCCGTGACGAGGGGCGTTTTGTTAGCTTGAGATTGTGAACTTTTATATAGTAGTGTAATAGTGGGAGAAGAGAGTTATAATGGTGTGGAAGTTAGAAGGATGAAAGGTTCAATTAGATGACATTAAATCAGAGCCGGCCTTGAGCTAGGGCCACCAGGGCTACAGCCCGGGGCCCACATCTGAGGGGGCACTAGGGTGGGTGAACAAACTATGGGTGAACTAACATCTATCCCTATTCCACGGGCCCCACAAATGTACCCATGATAGCAATTATTCTTCACCCCTACGGCCCATAGGCGGCTAGGCCGGCTGCTAATTTCCCATCAACCCACCACCTCTTCAGCTCTTCTTCACCTCATCTCTTCCTTTACTAGATTGAATTCTCCTCTCTCAATCTCTCTCTCTCTCTCTCTCTCTCTCTCTCTCTCTCTCTCCCCCCCTCTCTCTAAAATTATTCGACAGTTTGTATTCGACGGTTTAGAGTGAAAATGGGTTTTCTGCAAATTCAGTAGAAGGTGAGTGTTTTTTGTAGAAATTTTTTACTGATTTTATTATTTATTCTTCTCCAAAAAAAGGGGGTTTGGATTTAGCCATTTAGGGTATTTACCGTATTTTACCTAGTTTTTGAAGTGGATTTTGTTGGATTTGTAAAACGAATTTATGATTTGGGAAGTAATGGTGATATTAGCTCATATTAAGTAGGTTTTTAGTAATATTATAATTTTTAACTGATTTGTTGGATTTGTAATGGTGATATTAGCTAATTTATGGATTTTGTTGGATTTGTTAAGTAGGTTTTTAGCGAATTTATTAAGTAGGTTTTTAGTAATGGTGATATTAGCGAATTTATGGATTTTGTTGGATTTGTAGCTGATTTATGAATGGTTCTGTTGGAAACTTGGAATTATTCTGTTCAAAATAGTTACTATAATTCCATCGCGTTCTTCCTAAATTAACAAAGTTCATATATTTAATTATTATTGAACCTTTGAGCTTTTAGGAGAAAAAAATTCCTTTTATTTCTTCTCAGAAGGAAACAAAATTAGTTACCTTGCTTTTGCGTGACAGGGTGGGGAATTTGTTGATAATATAAAATTGACATAAGAGTTATAGATTTTGTAAATTGTAATACATATCTTTTTAACTTTTTCTTATTTATTATTTGATATTTTGATTCAACAGAAACATTGGCTGGGATCCTTGATCTTTATAATTGGAAGTTTCAAGTGGAAGAACATATGCTCAAAATCCAGGTTCTATTGTTCTTTGTTCTTTGTTAAGTGTTTATTATAAAAATTAAAAAATGTTTCCTAAGAAACAACTTTACGGAAATCTCAAGAGACAAAAAAAGAAAAAAAATGATGAAATTGCTCAAAGTTTAAGAGGATCTTTGAATAAATATTTTGTTAAACAAACCAATGCTTCACTTGAAAATTTAGATGAAGATGATTTACCAAATGAATATGAGCACCCAATTCAATTGGAAGAATTAGTAGAAAATGAGAATGATGTGAATGAAGAAATTGGTGATCTAGATGAAAATGAAAATAGTGATGAACCTTTCCTTGATGAAAATGAAAATATTGATGAACCTTGCCATGAAAATGAATGTCCCGAAACAAGATTTGATTTGAACATTTATGATCCACGAATTTGGGATAATCTTGATGCAAAAATGAGAGATTTACTTGTAGAAAAAGGTCCCCTAAGAGAAACTAATCACAAATTCCCCATGGACGAACACAATAGACATTTTTCTTCAAATTATTATCTTCGTACGTTACCAAATGGGGAAACTAAGGATCGAAAATGGCTAGTGTACTCAAAGGAGTTGGATAAAGTGTTTTGTTTCTGTTGTAAGTTGTTTAAAACAATGAATTCTAGAAGTCAGTTAACTAGTGAAGGAATTAGAGATTGGAAACATCTTGGTGAGAAGCTTAGACAACATGAAAGCAGTATTGAACACCTCACTAACTTGAGGTCTTGTGTTGAATTGCAAATCAGATTGAAAACAAATCAAACAATTGATACAGAATTACAAGAGCTAATCAAGAAAGATACACTACACTGGAAAAATGTTATTGCTAGAATCATTGTTGTTGTGAAATGTCTTGCTATACATAATTTGGCTTTTCGTGGAACAAATGAAAAAATTTATGAAGATGGTAATGGTAACTTTTTAGGCCTGCTTGAAATGATTGCAGAGTTTGATCCAGTAATGCAACACCATTTTTGACTCATTCAAGATAAGAAGATTCATTATCATTATCTTAACCATAAAGTTCAAAATGAGTTGATATATAGCTATTTTAGCATCAAATGTTAAACATGCAATCATTGAAAAAATAAAAACAGCTAAATATTTTTCTGTCATTCTTGATTATACTCCTGATGCAAGTCACAAAGAACAAATGACTTTAATATTGAGGTGTGTAGATGTTTCAAGTACTCCAATAAATATAGAAGAGTACTTTTTAGAGTTTCTGAATGTTGAAGATACATCTGGATTAGGACTTTTTAATGAATTGCAAAATGTAATTGAGTCCCTTACACTTAATATTGATGATGTGAGGGGACAAGGTTATGATAATGGCTCTAATATGAAAGGAAAAAATCTAGGTGTACAAAAAAGATTACTTGATATAAATCCTAGAGCATTTTACATGCCATGTGGTTCTCATTGTCTCAACTTAATAGTTTGTAATATGGCCAACTCATGTGTTAAAGCAAAATCTTTTTTTGGAGCATGTCAATGCATATATACGGTATTCTCTAATTCAACAAAGCGATGGAATGTGTTACTTGATTACATAGATGGTTTGACTTTGAAATCATTGTCAACTACACGTTGGGAAAGTCACATTGAAAGTGTCAAAGCAATAAAATCTCAAGCTTCCCAAATTAGAGAAGCTTTATTTAAATTAACAGAAATTAGTGAAGATGCCAAATTGAGTAGGGATGCTCAAAGTTTAGCATCAGGAGAGCTTTCAAGTTTTGAATTTATATTAAGTTTGGTTATTTGGCATGACATTTTGCATAAGATTAACTTAGTTAGTAAAAAGTTACAATCTGAAGACATGCGTCTTGATGCTGCTGTAAGACAATTAGAAGGACTTGTGTTATTTTTTGAAAACTATAGAATAAATGGGTTTGTTTCTGCCATGATTGATGCTAAACAAATTTCTCTTGATATGGGAATTGAGCCTATATTTCCAAAAAAACGTCAAGTTTGTAGAAAAAGGCATTTTGATGAGGTTTCCAATAGTGATAGGGAACAACAATCAGCTGAAGAATCATTTAGAACTGATTATTTTCTTGTTATAGTGGATATTGCTCTTGGTGAATTGAAGAGTAGGTTTGAACAATTGCATTGTTTTGAATCTATTTTTGGGTTCTTATTTGACGCTGCAAAATTGACTTCGCTTGATGATAATGAATTAAAAAGTTTTTGTGTGAATCTTGAAAATGCTTTAAAACATGGTGATGTTTCTGATGTTGATGCAAGAGACTTATTTTCAGAATTACAGGTGTTGCAAGTGATGTTACCAAAAGAAGCATATGAAACAGATAAACCATGGACATCCATTAAAATTCTTGAGTTTGTAAAGAGTGTGGATATGTTTCCTAATGTAATGGTTGCTTATAGGATATTATTGACTATACCTGTGACTGTGGCATCTGCTGAAAGAAGTTTTTCTAAATTAAAATTATTGAAATCTTACTTGCGGACCACCATGACTCAAGATAGACTAAATGGATTAGCAATATTATGCATTGAAAAGGATATGTTAGAGAACATTAAATATGATAGTATAATTGATGATTTTGCATCTAAAAGTGCAACAAGAAGACATTTTAAATGATGTTTTGTAGTTGAGATTTCATTGCTATTTTTATTTTGTAGGTACATGTGATGATTCTTTGCTTCGATTAATTGTGGAGGATGAAAAGAAGATTGATCAAATCAAGAAATGCTTATGGAGATTTGGGAAGAAGCATGTAGACTCAAATATGTAGTTTTTGTTTTTTAATGCAATGTTTACAATCCGGGGTACCTCAAATATGTAGTTTTTGTTTTTTAATGCAATGTTTACAATCTGGGGTACTCTTTTTCCTTTGTTTGGGGTTTTGTCCCATTGGATTTTCCCCAACCAAGGTTTTAATGAGGCCCCAAAGTATTTTTCTTATCTTTTGTAGAATCTTATAATTTTAATAAATTTAATTAATTAATAATTTATTTATTTGTTTTTTTAATTTGTATAAAGGGGCACACTTTGAGAAAATTTGCCCTGGGCCTTAGAAAACCCAGGACCGGCTCTGCATTAAATTGAGGTAATAGTGTAATTAAAGGTTAATAAGGAATGGAGAAGTAGAAAATCGTTATGAGCAAGTGAAGACCAAGAGGTTAGTGAGGTGATCATAAGTTTGGTGACTTATCATAATACCATCATCATGTTTTTTGAATATTCAATTATATTATACAATTTAAATAAGAATTAAATATAATCATGATGAATTAAAGTTGGTATTAATATTAGGTAGATGAGGACAACTTTGTTATATTTACAATAGTTGAAGGGTAATTTAGGGTATGAAAAGTTTTTTTTGGTACTCCCTCTTTTAAAGGGTAGATGATATTTTTCTTTGTTTGTTTTTGATTCCATTGGAATCATAAATTGCTTGTTTGATTTACAAATGTAACTTTAATTGTTTGTTTGGAAAGTGTAAAAAGTGGTCCCTACTCAAATGATCATATTGGTTAGAATTATTTTTTAATATTATTTTTTCCTGGCTTCAATGTCAGCTTTCTCCTAAAATCATGTCTTTTTTTATGAAATCATTTTACAAGCCACATCAGTATATGAAATCACTTTATACTATTTACATAACTACAGACAAACAATTGAAAGTGATGAAAGCTGACATTGGGGCCCACTTTTTTACACTTTCCATCCTTTTACATGATAAAATCATACAACCAAACAACCCCTTATTGATTCTGTTGTTGGTGAAGATGAAAAGTTTGCTAGTTTCACACGTCGACGAAATTATTAATTTTTATCATTTAAGAAAGAGGAAATAATATTGTATTTCTGAATGAAATTGGGATCGATGAAATTGTTGTGCGCGGCGCGGAAGCGAAACAAACAACCAACTATGATGCTTTGAGAAACCAAACCAACAAACGCCGAGAGAAAGACCAAACAAAACACAAACACCAAAGTTTTACGTGGTTCGGCAATTGCCTACGTCCACGGGGCAAGAAGGGGGGTGGGTTTTCACTAATAGAGAAGGAGAGTACAAATTGAGATTACAAATCGCTCAAACGAACCAACTAATCTCACCAACAAATCTCTCAATCTCTCAACCAATAACCCTAACAAATAGCTCAGAAAGATCTCTCTTTTCTGTGCTCCAAAATCCCCAGATTTGCTCCTACAAAACCCTCAAATCGTATTGGTATTTATACCAAAACAGAAACCCAAACAGACTGCAAATAGGAACTCTAACTTTCCAAAAAACCCGTCATAAGTCGACTTAACAGTCTGCATAAGTCGACTTGGCAGAGCGAAAAACAACAACTGGAGAACAGATCGTAAGTCGACTTATCAGACCTGATAAGTCGACTTGGCAGAGCAAAAAACCAACAATCCAGAGCAGAACGTAAGTCGACTTAACAGTCTGTATAAGTCGACTTACCATAAGTCGGCTTATGCCTGTGCATGAGTCGACTTATGATACAGAATCTGCAAAAACCTGAATTTTCCAAATTTCTCCACAATTCTCCACCTCGGCGAAGTTTTTCCAAAACTGAGCCGACACCAACCAAACAAATGCCTCACATAATGAGACCCAAACGGGAGTGCGAACACTCACCCCAAATGTCGATGTCGCTCACCAAATCGGCTGCATCAAAACTGACTGCCTACGTATCCTCTTGCCCAAGGAATCAAGCCTTCAAGTAGTTCATCCAACGGCCTCCAAAGGCCCTCAAACAAATAGAAAAGTCTGCAACTCTTCCCCAGTATCGCCGACGGATCTGCAACAGATAGCGGCCCCAAACTGATACAAATCAAATACCTCCATCCGAGGTAAACCAATGGCCGTATCCAAATCATGTCCACCAGCTACCACCGAATCCAAAACCAATCCATCATCTGCATCCGAAATCAAATGATCCCCAACCTGTGTCACCTCAGCTGGAATCCCGAATGATGCAGTATGATCTGAAGTACGTGGAGTAATCTCCACCCAACGTGGAGTAGCATCACTCTCCACCTGCTGCGATATCCAAATGACCTGATCAACACTCTCCACCTGCCGAGAGTCAAAAGTGACATACCTGCTCAGAACAAAATCAGAAGCTCCCAAACGATAATCAACTGAGCCTCCGAACCCCAAACTCGCAATCGGATCTAATCTCACATCCACGATGTGACCAAATGCTGGGTATCCAAATATCCGACGCAACCCAAAATCTGAAGCAGCTCCACCAGATCCAATAACTCCTAATGCAGCAGTCGGCGACCTATGCATAAGATGACCCAAATATGTCGAAGCCCGCACACCAATGCCAATGCTCGACATCAAACGCCGATCCTCCTCCAGAAAGGAACGACCCATCGAAACTGTCATCTCATCTCGTCGCCCCAAAGTCTCCACACCAATGAAGTGTCTCCTATTGCCGTGAGCTCGGCACCAACGCAAGAAAGGACCCCTACCAAAGCTGAAACAATGAGTTACCTTTCTGTCAATACACTTCTTCCAATTGTTGTTGACTTCTAGGACTTTACACCAACGGGAACTGGTCGCGACCCAATAATGACTAGAACAATCACCAACTGTGAAAACTAAGATACGATTACCTCCCAATGATGTCTCCTTGGAAGGCCCCCAAATGCCTGACTGAACATCTCCAATAAGATCCCTCGCTCGATGGATAGAAGTGCCAAACTCCACCACGGTCTCGCTCATCCCAATGTGCGCACAGGACTTCAATCTGCAGGTCATAGTACTCCTCAACAACCAATGCACGGCATTACCAATCATATACCCCAGCACCAAACAATGCCACAGTCTAGCCGAATCTGATAAAGTCGTCATTTCCCTATCAATCACCGTGCTTCCGTGCAAATAATACAAATTTCTCCTTCTGACGCCCTTCATCACAATCATGGACCCAAATGTAACCTTCAAGCGTGCATCCGCCAAGGTCACCCTATAGCCTGCTGCCTCCAAAGCTCCAAGTGAAATGATGTTCTTCTTCAACTGAGGAACGAACCTCACTCCAACCAACTCCCGAATCACCCCGTCACTCATCCTGATCCGAACAGTACCAATACCACCAATAGAGCATTTGTGATCATTCCCCATGAGCACGAAATCCCCTCTTTCCAACTCCTGAAAGCTGGAGAACCAATCCCTCCTAGGGCAAATGTGGTATGTAGCACCCGAATCCAATATCCACTCTGTAGAGTAGGCAACACAAACTGACGGCAGTGCAGATAACGAGTAGCCCGAAGAATCCGAATCTGAATCGTTGCCACTAGCCTTGACAACATTCGCCTCTGAAGCTTGAATAGCTTTTCCCTTATTCTTCCCGGCTCGATCAACTAACTTTGGGCAATCGGCTTTCCAATGTCCATCTTCTTTGCAAAAGGCACATTGATTCTTACGAACTCCAAGATGTGCCCCTCTAGACTGCGACCTCCCACTACGGTTTGGACCCTTTGCTCTTGCGACCAACGCCCCCGCTACCGGCTCAAACGAAGTCTCCTTATCCTTCTTTCGAAGCTGATAATTCACAAGTGCAGCGGTGACCTCACTATACGAAAGAGATGCCTTCCCATTAATAAGAGTAAGAACGAAGGTCTCATATTCCTCGTCAGGCAAGGAACTCAATAGCAACAACGCCTTGTCCTCATCTTCAATCTTAACATCCACATTCGCCAAATCCGCAAGAAGCTTCGTGTAGTGGTTCATGTGATCACCAATGGAGGTTCCTTTCTTCAACTGGAAGCGGTAAAGCCTCCTCTTCAAATGCAAGCGATTCTCCACACTCTTGGTCAAATACTTGCTCTCAAGGATCTCCCAAATCTTCTTTGCAGAAGTCTCATTGATCACATCATACTTTAGATCTTGAGTGAGACAAGACCTAATCACACCACACGCCGTTCGATTCATCTTTTTCCAAACCTTTTCATCAATATTATCCGGTTTCCCGACCAACTCCAATGTATCTTCCAAATTTTGCGCGTTGAGCGCATCCATGACTTCGCATCGCCAAAGTCCAAAATTGTTTGTGCCATTGAACTTTTCCACGTCAATCTTCATCGAGTGGATATTCAAGCTTTGGACGGTCTTCACGCCGGAAGTACTGCCCACAACTCCTTCTTTCTCGGCCATAATCCTCAAGGCACCACCAAACCAATGCGGAAACAAACGAGAAATAGATCCAAACTGAAAAAGACGAGATTTTTACCAAAAAGATCCCACCTTTATCATCAAACGAAGCCCTAGATGAACTTCCAAAGCGATCTACTCCTCCAAATAGCCCAAGCGTAGCCCGATCTCTGATACCACTTGTTGTGCGCGGCGCGGAAGCCAAACAAACAACCAACTATGATGCTTTGAGAAACCAAACCAACAAACGCCGAGAGAAAGACCAAACAAAACACAAACACCAAAGTTTTACGTGGTTCGGCAATTGCCTACGTCCACGGGGCAAGAAGGGGGGTGAGTTTTCACTAATAGAGAAGGAGAGTACAAATTGAGATTACAAATCGCTCAAACGAACAAACTAATCTCACCAACAAATCTCTCAAACTCTCAACCAATAACCCTAACAAATAGCTCAGAAAGA